CTCTCACTAGGAATCCCATCTACAGCCAGGATCTGAACTACCACTATTTCTGACTCTCTTTCCAATTCAGAGAAACTTCTCCCCAGTTCTACTTGATTCATCAACTCCCTCCAGGCTAGGTTTAATACTTCTCTGTATACTCTCAGATTACACTTACATAATTCTAATCTGGCATTTCCTTAATTATAATGTATTCTCTCAGCAGTTCTAGGTCAGGTGTCCTTCTGACATGCCACCAAAACACACCCTCATTTATCTTTATAGCACTTTCAATTTAGATTACAAGTAACTATATATAAACTATAAATAACCATTCATTTTCTCCCACCAGGCACTGCTTGAGACGTGGCACTATGTCTTATTCACAATTTTCCCAATATCTAGTATAGTGCAAGGCCCATGACAGGCACTCAAAAATTGGCTAAACCAATGAACAGGAGAAATAAAATGTGCTTTAAATTATAAACATACAAGGCACCTTGGTGGTGCAGTCAGTTAAGCGTCCAACTCTTGGTTTTGGCTCAGGTTGTGATCTCAGGGTCATGAGATTGAGCCCCAGGTTGGGCTCTGCACTCAGCACGGAGTCTACTTAAGACTCCCTCTCCCTCTGCCACCCCTCCCCCACATGCACATGCGCTCTCTAAAATAAATAAACCTTTAAAAAATAAATGAAAAATAAATTGTAAACATACAACCTCTGAAAAAAAACCTTCAACAATTTATTTTTTCAAAAGAGAAAACAGGACAAGAAAGGTTAAGTGACTAACTCAGTCAAGTCTTCGTCTCCTGAATCACAGTTTGCTTCCCACAAAATCATAATGCCTATTAGTTCATGCTTACTGATCTAAGCTTCCCAGGAACCTCCAGAAGTAACATAAGAATATTATTTGGAGAAGAACCATTTCAAATGCATCCATCCCAGCTCTTGCTAGCTGTATCAGTTATAGAGAACTCAGATGTTAATTATTACTTAATAGTTTTTCTGCCCAATATAGACTAATCTTTAATTGAACGAATCTTTTCACATATCCTTCATATATAATTTAATATATATCACAACAGTATGTGAAAAATAATGTGCAAGTTGTAATTTGTCAGCACTCCAAAAATATGTAATTATATTGTATGCTCTTTAAGTTTAACAATATCTCAAGTGTCTGCCTTAAACCAAAATGTGATTCAGATGAGAAAAACACTGAATGTGAATGCTAAAGATAAGCACTTCAACTTAGCAGGAAAATCCCTATAGTCCATTGCTAACATTTTCAGTGGTTGCTACGTTATCCTGCAATTGTGTTACTGGGCAACAACTCAGAAGCTAGGATAGCAGCTTACTAAAAAACAAATGACTCAAACCAAGATTTATAAAAATACTGAGACTCTACTTCCTTACACCTTTAAATGAAACAATTCCTTGTCATAAGCATCAGATACAGGATTTACAGTAAGACTACAAAAATTACCCAGAATTTATTTAGAGACATATTTTGAGAGTGATAGGCACTTTCCAAAAGGAAATGGATAGGTTTAGGTTCCTCCCAACTCTATGAAATTTAATGCAAAAGAAATTTAAAGTTACAATATACAGAAACTGGGCACTTCCTGCTTTCTTAATTTCTTTACTACTGGATTACATCTCAGTTAAACTTAAAAAAAAAAAGCTAGACTAGCTATACAGCCTGTGATCTCTCCGTGACCCATAGAGGCAGCCCCAATGGAAAATTATAAAATTTAAGATAACAGCTACCTTATGAGGGCCAAATAAAAGTACTGACATAATTCATAAATAAGTCTTGACCAGGAAAAAAGTAAAATGGAACGGGGTAAAATGGAGAGATAGGGAGAGAGGGTTTATACAAGGGAGGTAGAGGGAGGAGAGAGTTGGGGGAAGTGTTTTTAAAATTAAGATTCTACTAAGGAAGAACCAGGAAATTGACCAAACTCCCCAAACCCACTTGAGAGTAATGCCAGCATTCCTGAGGGAGTCCTCACTGTTGATATTGTCTTGGGAAATTCTCAAATATCACACTTTCTAGGAATAGAATCTTTCCTTCCAATCCCAATGAATTCCCTCTCTTTAATTCCCTTTCTTATGGTTCACAGTTGCCCTTTCTCTCTCACTCTCTCAAAGATTTTCTTTTACTTCTATTACACTACGGAAGGGGGGGAAAGTACAAATGCACATTCCTCATCTCTAAGAAACATTTATTCAGCAACTTCTATTTGGAAGATACTAAGGATACAACTCATTGAGATCTGGTGTCCTGCCCTTAAGGAGCTTACAATCTAGTTAGGAAGGTGAGGCATATACAGAAATGATAAATCGCAATATAAAGTGTAAGTATCAGATGAGAATGGCTAATGAAAACATCCTACAGGATTTCAGAGAAGAAAGAGTTCAGAACATGTTACCCTAAAATATGCCACTTTGGTGTACTGATTGAGTTAAAAGCACTTAAGAAATAGCAGGTGCAAAAAGGGGCACTCTGACCCTTTTTCTTCTTGAAAACAGAAGATAAAAATCCCAGAAGAAAAAAAAAAAAAACAAAACCTGTACCAGGAGTGCAGAAGACATTCTTATCACCAGAGATGGGGGATCAAAGCCGAGAAATCTGTACAAACAAGCCTTCTTAAACTAGTCTTTAACTTCCTAGTCACTTCTCCACAATTTACTACTCAACACAAAACCTTTGTCTTTTTTACATAAATTTATTGTTTCTTTATCTAAAAGGTATAAAAGGTTTCTGCTCTGGTTACTTCAAGTCTTCATTCTCCTGTGAAGGCCCCCAAGTACATGTAAACAATTTTTTAAACTTGTACGCTTTTCTCTGTTTATCAGTTTTATGTCAATTTAACTCTTAGGCCAGCTAGAGACTCTAAGAGAGTAGAGAACTTTTCCTCCCCTGCGGAGATTATGGTGGAGTTGAACTTTATAGAAAAGGTACAACTCAGATTTTAGGAAAGAAGGGAAGAAATCAGGTCAGGTAGGCAGAATGACTCAAAGACTTGGAAGAAAGGGAGAAAGCACATAGTAGGTTTAGAGGATAGTGAGGAAATCAGTCTGGACACAACAGTTTTTCTATAAAGAACATGAACATGAAATGGCAGAGTGAGAGGAGATTTTGAAGAGTTCAGGTTAAGAAATGTGAACTTTAGTTGGTAGGAAAGAGTACTTCAGGAAATTTTTTACAGATACATACACACATGCCCTAAAAGTACACACAGATTAGACAATTTGACAGAATTACTGAACTTAATACATTATGTATGACAAAATTAAAATAAAACTCAATTACTTTAGGCAGAGACAGTACCTAGAAAACACACAAAGAATTGACAATTAACGAATCTTTCTGTTAACATTTCCTTCTTCTAAACTTCTTGAATTAGAACTTCCCATGACAAAATGCTGACTTCTGATTACTAAGAATTTTATACGAGTCATTCTTGATTTTATTCTCTGCTTGTCTTGCCCAACTCTTGAATATTTCATTACTTCAACATAGCATATGGAAAAGAGAAAGGGGGAGGGAACTAAGATGAAGTCAACAGATTTTTGCAATGTAGTAAGACATGCAACTTCAAGCTGCAATTCCCATTACCAATAGTTTGATTTCAAAGAAGTCATTCAGTCTCATAGTGTCTCAAATGTTCACTTCCTTTCTGACATACTTGAAAGGTTATAGCACTCAAAAAAATCATGAAAAAGTGCTCTGAAAACTACTTGCCATACAGTCATACAAATTATATCAATAAGGGTTTAATGGGTGGAGAAAGAGTGAGGTTATTGGCTCAAGCAAGGCTTAAAAACACTTGTGGATACTGTTTTAATCTCCCAATGCGCTATGTAACCCTAAATTGGTATTGTTCTATTATTTGAAAAATTCCTGAATATAGTCTGCACACTTCATCTGATTAGAAAATATTCGAAAGAAAGAATACAGGACATACACTGTCCTATATAACCAAAGGGTAACTGAAATCCATTTGCAACTCTCTGGAGAGTCCTGTATGACACTGAAATTCAAAACATTCTAATAATTCCACACAAAATGAGTTTGAAATCAAACTTCAGTACAGAAGGTGCGTATTAACTGTAACCACCTACAGGCTAAACCCATGAATTTACAGAATTCTGAATCCAGATAATTGTAGGATAGTTACATTTAATTATATTCTAGCTGAATATTAGACTTGTTTACGGAGATGTTGCTTGGTAACAGAAGCACTGCTTTAACAACCTACTCGGTTTTAGATCTCAAGTATTTTGTGTTCATAGTCTAAACACTATCAACTATAACACATATAAGAAATTAAGAACAAGTTTCTTGCATACTAGACATCTCTGAGATTTTACTGAAACAGCTTCATAATTACAACTCAGGTAACTTAAGGCTTTAAAAATACTTGGCAGTGGGCATTTTGAAGAGCTAAGTGCCCATTTATTACGGTCAAAAGCTGGTAAGGATTTATCAAAAGGTCCATTTAATCCAGGCATTCATTTACCTAGTCTAGACATTATCTCTGAAATGACTGCCAATATCACTATTAAAATTGTCTGCGGGGTCATAGAAAGTGGTTAGCATAGTTTTTTCATCACAAATTAAACTGGTGGTATACCACACGTTCAGCCAGTTAGTAAACTAGCTACCAAGCACCGCGCTGGAGTGCATCAAAAAACTCCAAAAAGGGGCGCCTGGCTGGCTCAGTCCGCGGAGCATGCGACTCTTAATCTCGGAGTGGTGAGTTCGAGCCCCGCACTGGGTGTAGAGATTACTTACATACATAAATTTAAAACAAAACAAAACAAAAACAACTCCATAAGAAGTTTCACGTGCACTTAACTGGCTACAGAACATGTCTCACAGCCTACGTTTCTCACACCCGCTCCAATTACTTTACAGGAAAAGTACAAAAAATTCAAGGGCAAACTGTGAAGAAAAGGGGAGCATTCCAAAACTACGGACAAAACAGCGTCCCCATAAAAAGAGATTACGTACCAGACTCGCACACCGTCCTTGCAACTTGCGCGCAAAGAACTTAAAAGCGCCCGGTGCTGTGGCCGCACTTGCCACCGGGGAACACCTGCACAGCTCCAACCAGTGGCACCCACTCAGCTCTTCTCGCACCCGCATTGGGGCTACGGGATGCAGTTCCACACGCTGGGTGCTGGCCCGGCCGGCAGCCGCGCCCGGCGCGGACTGAAGAGGAGAAGCAGGAAAAGGAGGGCCGAGCACGCCCCTCGGGCTCCCGACTCCAGGGAAATGTGAGGTTTCCCAAGAGAGCTCCGAGGACAGAAAGGGCGGCGGTGGAGAGAGAGCTTCGCTCCACCTCGGCGGACGGGCTTTCTCAAGATAGCGAAGCAGCCCAGCAGCTGCCGACCCGCCAACACGCCGCCCGCCGCCCGCCGCCCGCCGCCCGCCGCCCGCCGCCCGCCGCCCCTCAAGCCCGCCGGAGCGCCTCGGTCTGGAGTCCTAAGAGAGCGCGAGGCAGGAAGTCCCGCCCCTACGCCGACGTCACCGACGCCGCGGACGCTGGCCGCGGTCAGCAGCCGTTAGAGGCAGGAGACGAGCCGATCGGAGGCGGGAGCGGCGGCAGACAACGGCGGGAACGCCGGGTCGAGGCGGCGCTACGACGGAGCCCTGGGGGGACGCAGAGATTCCCCGAGCCGAGGACCGGTACTTGCTTCAACCAGCCAGACTGAAGTGCGTGGTTGAGCGGGAAGCCGGTCTCCCTCACCTCCTCGCAACGCTGTTTCTAGGGGATTTCCCCCCTTTTCGCGCTTCCCTCTGCCGGCTCTTCGCACACTCTTAACTCTTTGAGGGCTCCGAGGAGGTCCTGCCGCTGCCTTCGACCCCGATTGTGCATTTAATGGGTCCTGGAGTCGCCTGCCTGCCACGCAGCCTGGAGGCATCAGCCCCCGAGCGGGTAGTCAGCTCAGCTTGCCAGGAGGAACCGGCCAGGTCAGGACCGGGGTCCCGGGTGAATCCTTCCCCGCCCCTCGCGTCCTGCTCCAGAGTCAGGGCCCACTGGAGATAACATTGTGAACCATTTATTTAAGGTTGTAAACTACAGTTGGGAGAGAAGGTACTAGTTTTGTTTTTTTTTTTTTAAAGATCTTATTTATTTATTTGACAGAGAGAGAGATAGCGAGAGCAGGAACACAAGCAGGGGGAGCGAAGGAGAGGGAGAAGCAGACTTCCCGCCGAGCAGGGAGCCCGATGAGGGGCTCGATCCCAGGACCCTGGGATCATGACCTGAGCCGAAGGCAGATGCTTAACGACTGAGCCACCCAGGCGCCCGAGAAGGTACTAGTTTTTGAGAGCATCAGTTATATGCCAAGGGCTGAAATGAGGTAGAGTTTCAGCCTCTAAGAATACGTGGTAGAAGAAATAGGTACTCATCTTTCCCACGTTTGTTCAGCGTCTTGGTTCGGGGTTTCGGTTCTCATTGCATTGTGAAGCACAGCTTATTTTTACCTAGGCTGTAGCTGTGATTAGAAAGGCAACTGCGATAGGAACTTTCTTGTTGAAATGAGGAAAGAGGAGCCATTCCATGAGACAATGAGTTGGATAATGGAGTGTCAACACATGGATTACAATTATGTGGAAGATAGTATCAGTGAACAGAATGTAGAATCTAGAAACAAACTGCTGTGCCATGTACAAGTGTTTAATAATAGTAGCTCACATTTGCTGAGCATTTAGGTATCAAGTACCAGAGCACTTTTTCAGATATTATTTAACCCTAAGACAGGTGCAATTATTATCTGACTTTACAACATTACTCAGAGCCATTACTGCTAAGTGTTGAAGCCAGGAGACCTGGACTCCAGAAGTCTTAGTGGTAACCAGTAAACTATATGCTACAAATCCCTGCTAAGTGGGAAGGAGATTATCTGAGAAATAACAAGCCCATGGAGACAGACTTTCTATCTCCTTTCTCAAATACCAGATGAATCAAAAATTTAAATGTAAAGAATGAAGCCAAAAAAAACACTACAAGAAAATCAAGGAGAGTATCTTTATAGTCTTGAGCTGAGAAAGGCCTTTGCTAAGTATGAAACAAGAACCAGAAACCATAACAGAAAAAAATGGTAAAAATTAACCACATGAAGATTGTAATCTTCTTCTATATACAAGTTGTAATCTTCTATACACAAATAATGAACCAGTGGAAAATACATTTGTATTGTGGAAAAAGAAGGAAAAATATTCCTAATATACAAAGAGCTCACACGATTTTAAGGAGCCCCTGGGTGGTGCAGTCCGTTAAGCATCCCACTCTTGGTTTCTGCTCAGGTTGTGATCTCAGGGTTGTGAAATTGAGCCCTTCAGTGGGCTCTGTGCTCAGTGCAGAGTCTGCTTAAGACTCTCCCTCTCCCTCTGCCTCTTCCCCACACACACACGCGTGTGTGCGTCTCTCTCTAATCTTTAATTTTTAAAAAAGTATCAGTTTTAAAAACACCTCACTATAATTAGCAAAGGAAATCAATAGGACATTTTTAAACCAAGAAAAATGAACATCTAATTAAATGAAAGATGTTCAACATTCCAAACAGATCCTTTTTGTCCCTCAGGGTACATAGTGATATGGGGTTACAATTACTATTGTGCACTTATTGGTGTTAAGGTTGAAATTGGGACAATCTTATTTACCAAAATTTCATTAGCCTTTGCCCCAAAATCTCATTTCCTAGTCCATTCATTCTAAGGAAAATAACAAAAAGAAAACATTCGTATGGATGTTCCTCACTCCCTTTTTTGTAATAACTGTTTTTAGAAACACTGTAGGTGCCATCACTAGGATGCTAGTTAAATTACAGTGCATGTGCACAATGGAATACCCTTAACCTATTAATAATGATGAAAATCTTTATTTACATGAAAATATGTTCATAGCATATAGGTCCGCCCATAAAAGGAGAATATAGATCAGCAAGAACAGCATCATCTTGACATGAATTTTTGTGTATTTATGTGTATATAAATGTGCAAAAAGATCTGGAAGGATGTTGGCCAAAATGCAAGTGATTTTTATTTTGTCTTTTGGACTTTTTTTATCTCATTTGAATTTTTTTATAATGTCTATCATTTTTACAAAAAAACTTTCATTTTATTTGTAATTAAAGATATGCCAGTGAAAGGGGAGCAGTTGACGGTAGACACCCATAGGTTGATGACCAATGTGAAATAATTATATCTGAGAGCTAAATTCTCAGCTTTTTAAGTATCCATAAATTTGACTATATTATTTTACTTCAAGTTAGCAAATGTAATTCATCACTTGGACATCATGATTTGACTTCCTAAATTGGCCAGTGTATCCATCCTATGTGTTGTTCTCTGTGTACCTCTCATGGCATTTGTCACACTGAATCATAGTTCCCTCTTTCTGTCACTAGACTGTTTGCTCCTACAATATATATTTTATTCTGCTATATGTTATATATTTATTTTCCCCTGATTCATCATTTGTCATCTATTTTATTTTTGTATGCAGAAATTTTATTTTTAATGCTAATGAATTATACAGATATTAAAGGGATAGTTCAACAACTTTATGCCAATAAATTTGACAACTTACATCAAATGGACAAATTCCTGAAAAAATTCAAACAACTGACACAAGAAGAAAAAGAAAAGCTAAATGGACCAATATCTATTAAAGAAATGGAATTTCTAATCAAAAACTTTCCCACAAAGAAAACTCCAGGGCCAGATGGCTTCACCAGTAAATTTTATCAGACTTTTAAAGAAGATAAAATAATAATCCTATATATTTCAGAGACTAGAGCAGGAATGAACACTTCCAAACTCATTTTATGAGGCCAAATAATCCTGATATCAAAGCTTGACCAGGACATTCTACAAGAAAATTACAAACCAGTATCCCTCATGAATATAGATTTTAAAATTCTCAATGAAATATTGGCAAATTGAACCTTGCAATATAAAGGATAAGACGCTAAGGAAGGTGTGGTTTAACGTTGAAAAGTCAGTGTAATTCACCACATTAACAGAATGGAAGAGAAAAACAAAATGATGGTCTCAGTAGATGCAGAAAAAGCATCTGACAAAATTCAAACCCATTCATGTTAAAAAAAAAAAAAAAAAAAACTTAAAGCAAGTACAGAAGGGAACTTCCTTGGGGCGCCTAGGTGGCTCAGTCCTTAAGTGTCTGCCTTCGGCTCAGGTCATGATCCCAGGGTCCTGGGATCGAACCCTGCATCGGGCTCCCTGCTCCATGGGAAGCCTACTTCTCCCTCTCCCACTACCCCTGCTTGTGTTCCCTCTCTTGCTGTGTCTCTCTCTGTCAAATAAATAAATAAAATCTTCAAAAAAAAAAGGGAACTTCCTCAGTATAACAACAATCATCTTAAAAAAATGTAATGTGAAATATTAAATCTTTTCCCCCTAAGGTCAGGAACAACATAAGACAATGTTTGCTCTCACCACTTCTATTCAGGGTTATGTTGAAGGTCCCAATCAATGTAATAAAATAATAAGAATATGCATAAAGATTGGAAAAACTTAGACTTCCTGATTTCAAAACTATAGTAATCAACACAGCTGTACTGCCAAAAGCATATATAAGTGAGATGTAATTCAGAGTCCATAAATAATACCTTTATATTTATGGTCAATTGACTTTTGGCAAAGGTGCCAAGACAATTCAATAGGGGAAAGAACAGTCTTTTCAAAAAAATGATGCTGGGAAAACATGGAAAAGAATGAACTTGGACCCCTATACATATACAAATATTAAGATAAATCAAAGATCTAAATGTAAGAACTAAAGCTCAGAAAAAAAAACATAGCCATAAATCTTCATGGCATAGCAATGGTTTCTTGGATGTGATAGCAAGAGCACAAACAACCAAAGGAAAAAATAAATAAATTACACTTTATCAAAATTAAAAATTAGGGGGCTTCAAAGAACACTATCAAGAAAGTGAAAAGACCGCATCTCCTGGTGCTCCTCTCAGGCCAAGCCTTGGCCCCCCACCTGCCCCACTGCAGATGAAGTGTGAGCACCACATGTGGAAGAAGAGAGAATTCCATAAGTCGGCTGATGCCAAAATATTTGAGTAATATGGGTGTGACAGCAGTGTGACTAGTGGAGGAAGGGATCCAGGTTTCCCAGCAGAACGCCAAGGACTTCTTTTGAGTTCTGAACCTTAATAAGAAATGTGATATCTTATAGCAAAAGGTGCTGGCAGTGTCGGTGTGTCCACAGTCTCTGCCTTATTTTGCTGCTAAATTCTGCCTCAATGTGATTTATGCATCCAGAAGACTATGGCTTCCTCAAAAGTCTTGGGGTATGCACTGTCTTTAATACAACAGTAGCTGGGGATTTCAGCATCTTGGAGAGTCAGAAAGAATCTGTGTCTCGATGCCTCCAGCACAGTGAGGAAGAGCCAATGTTACCCAAGCTCACCTCCACCTGTCCAGGCTGGGTCCCATACTT